TGGGGCAGTTGTGTTTTACCTTGTTTAAGATGATGTCATGGTTCTCTGGCAGTTGATCATAAAATAAGAATCAAATATTAAGAATGCATCTCTGTTTGTCCAGCACTGCCGTGGGAGTTAGAGCACAGGCCTGGACCACTCTGATTCTACTCAAGGGATCACTGGATGCATTCAGGCAACAGGTGTTTCCTGGACCAGTCAATTTAATAGAAATAGGGTCACAAAAAGAAATGGGGGAAGAAAGGGAAGACACAGATGGAGGGAAAGGAAAATTACAAATTAAGGAATGGGAGAAAGGGAGAATTCTGAAGGAGGACAAAGGCTTCATCTGCTAGACACAACTCTTGTGGCTACTCAAAATAGAACACAGGTAAGGGCTTGATCCTCTCCTGGATGTCTGCTGTAACAACATTTTAACAAAATTCCAATTTTAGATTATGTTTTTTCTAGAATGATCTTAAGTACAATGGTTATGAGATCAGCGCCCTCTAAAATTCAGGACTGGACCCTCACTCCTCTTCTCATAAAGTCATCAGTTAACTCTACATATTCTACCTCCTGCTTCATCTTCCAGTCTCAACCCGTCCTGGTACCCAGGGTTTCATTCACACTTCCAGATCCCAGAAATATGTCCGAGTTTTCCTACTTTCTGAGCCTTTTCATACTCCGTGCTCACTAGGCAGAAGAGAAAGCCCCCAACTGCCACCGTTAGACTTGCTGGTGAGTTTCTTAGCCAGAAAGAAAAAGCCGAGCACACTTTCTGGATTGTTTGTGCCTCTCCACACAGAATGATTTGTGCAGATCTCCTAGGCATTTTCCAAGTGACCTGAAGGTAATCCAGTGCCTTCCACTCCCCAGCTAAACCCTAAGCTCAGACATGCAGCTGCATTCTCACACTCACTTGCGCATGCTCATCCCTCTTCATAACACCTTATAACAGACCCAGGGAAACACTGAATAGATTCATAGATAGATAAATGAATGAAGTGACACAAACCACTGTCAGGGAAATCTATCCCACCACTTGAAAATAATACAAACCGAATGCTGTCTGGCTGTCTTCAGATGCTACAGAGTTGGCTATTAATTTGAAGAGTGAATAGCCATGTGAATGACTTCTAGCCATTACACACACTCAGATTCTCATTTATACCAATGTTTACATTTTGGTGCTTCTTCTACTTACTATGCTAATAATAATAATAATAATAATAATAATAATAATAATAAAGTAACATGCATTGTTTTATGTTTCTGTATTTGAAAATTGTTGTGCTATAACACTGTACCAGACCATCTTCATTTAGCAAGTTATTCATAAACTATCAAACTGCATAGGCTGGGTGTGTGCCAATAAAATACAGAGCATGTTTTCTGTTGAGCAGCTTAATATGACAGTTGTATAGTAATATGGAAGTGAGATTAATATGTTAAAATTGTGGCACTAAATAAAACACCAGGTAGTTGTCAAGTTTCTGTGGGGTATTACAGGTAGAACTGCATATATTATATGCAAGCATATATATTATATAGACATTGGATCACTAAAATATGACTGATGCATTGTCAATCTATTTCCCACACGGCAATTTCAACTGTTTCTTCGTCACAAGTATGCATCACACTCTGTAGTCACAGGGAACAATGTTAACTCTGTTACTGAGCTCTTTTAATCCCCGTTACTCATTCTTGCCTGCTATTTGCTTTTCCATCATTCTAACCAAGGACTGTGTATCATTCCCCCACCAGACATGCCCCACTCAGTCAAGCGGAAACAGGAACTTTTCCCAATCAAGGCAACTGAGCGGACCATATTAAGCAAAAAGGCTGCGAATCTAAAGCCTATTACTCACCGTTAACTGGTGATCCACTGATGATTGTTGCTCAAGAGAAAAGTTTACTAAAGCAGTACATCATCCCCTTGAGCTTCCCCACTCCCTTCCCCCATTCGGCTGTGTGCATCATTGGTGGGGTTGCCCATGTCGCTCTTTAAGATGGGCCTGACACTCATTCAGTCTCTCCAGCCTGAAATCCACAACTGCACCTCCATTCAAGCACAGGCTTTCACCCTAGAACCTGTGGGGATGGGATTCTCAGAGGCTTGGAGTGTGAGTGTTCTTTTGCTGACACCTGCATGCGCCTCATAGTCGCCCTTAGTCTTGCAAAGTCACTGGTGGAGCACTCAGGTTCAAGTTTAAATAAATACATTAATTAACTAATTATATCTTAAGAAATATATTACATGTGATTGGAGCCATGTCCTATTTTTCTTTTTCTTAGCTGGCATTCCTTAGGAATGGAAAAATATCAAAGGCATTCCCACACAAAAGCCCACACTGAGGTATGTTTAAGTGTCGAATTGAGAACTAACAAAAGGCAGGAAGCGGGGAGTTCAGAATTTAACTTGCCCTGAACTCACCCTATTGTGCCTAGGCACCAAGAAAGAACTCAGGGTCATCACTAGCTGCTTCTGTTTCCTTTCACTGTTGAGATAGTGAACTTCAAAAACTATTGATTTGACAAAAAATTTCCAAGTGTGGGTGAGCCATACACGTTGGCAACCCATGCATAACTCTAGCTTTCAAAGACATGTTTCAATCTACCACCTTTTCAAAATTACAAAGCCTCTATTACCTTTGGTGAGTCCCACTTTCTGTGTCTATTTTTAGACTCTACTGAGTCCTTTCCCTAATAATAATAATAATAATAATAATAATAATAATAATAATGAAAAGAGAGTATGCAAGAAGTGAAAAATAACAGGGACTTCATCTCAGGCAAGAATAACCATCCCGTTTTCAGTTTTAAATGAAAATCACTGAATGCATCATCAAGCTTAACACTCTCATCTACAAAGACCTCCACGTTGGGTATGATTTGATTCTTCCTGGCCATATCTCATGTGTCCCATAGGAGTAGCTTAAAATGTCTCTAGTGTATCTACAGATAGGATGGCACTCTCCTTGGAGAGATGGACTGACTTTGGGACCTGCTGTGCCTCTGTCTGGAGTATCCACTGCTGGGACGACACTACTGAGGTAGACATGTGGGTCTACTATTATGAAATAAGAATGCACTTTGGTTTTGTTTGGGGTGGGTATTGGTGCAGCGTAGGTGGTCTTTCGTGATACATAACATCACTAGGGCAGTTATCAGGGCTTATTAAGAGCCCAGGTACCACACAGAGCAGCCAGGTTTTGAGGAACTAATACTCAGGACTACAGCAACTCACACCCCAGACACTCTTCCATTTCCATGTTTTCTCACAGTATGAGGACAGACTGATACTGTAGTGGGCAGATCTCATGATGGGGTCTCCCTAAGGGAAGGTGATGAAAGCCTCTGGCTTAACTTGGAGGCCTCTGCCCTCAGAGCTGTGGTGAGGCAATACCGAGCAGCACTGACGGCACTGGACAGTCCTGGGGAAGAGTGCTTTCAAGAGAGCCACGTGGTGGGATGGATGTCAGCAGCCCCAAACAGACAGCATGTTAGCTCACTGCATTTGCTTTTTGAGGCATAGCTGAAGCTCAACCTGGCACATACAGTGGGACATGTGAGCCATTACTAAGACAAGAAGAGTAGACCTCTGGAAGCTAAGAGATGTAGGAATTCTTATGTCCAAAGACCATGTAAATAAGACACATGGTGTTCTCAGTAACTGGGTGATACTTTTAGAAGAATTTTTGAAGAAAACTCTAACCAAAGGTGAAGTGGTAGGTACAAGCTCTCCAACTGTTCACAATAGGACCTTTGAGTCATCCCTATTAGAAATATGACTATGTGATAAATGGCCACCCATAGGATATACAGAAATACTGATGTTGTAGGAGCTGCCTTTATGGTTTCTGTGCCTAGAAAGACCCTAGACTAAAGATCTGCAGATAATCACTGGAGCCTTACTCAGTCATCACCTAGCTTCATTCATTGTATAAATCGCCTGTCCATTTATGATTTTCCAAGGGAAAGTGTTGGTCTCTAAAATAGGCAAACTCCTTCCCTGGCGTTCCCTTAGCACTCCACAGTCCACTGCTGCCCCATCTCCTCTACCTAAGAAGCTCTGTGTCATGTCTAAAGGCTGTGTATTTGTGAGTTCTTTAAAAACCTCTCTGGGGCACAGCCTGCGCATCTCCAGCACGGTCTGTTACTCCCTGTGCCAAACATCCCTTTCCTAAAACACTCCCACCCAGGAGATGACTGTGCAGCATGGTTTTGTCCAATGGCATAAGTAGAAATTTGGTCAAATGGAAATTCAGGAAAAAATTTTCCTTCTCCCTTAAAAGGAACTCTTTTGATGTTCCTCCCCCTTTCCTGAGCACCTTTAATCCACTATAATTGTTAGGACAAACCAAAACCACACATCTGTCAGCCATGTAGTTAATAATGATAAGATAAAGGCCACCACCCCTCCATGTTGTATGAGAGCTGAGAACTAGATAGCATGTCATTTGAAGTTCTTCCTCAACTCTGTACCCACTTTTGTCCTTTATCACGCAAAACAAATAAAGGCTTGATTTCAAAGCCATTGTGACTAAGTGTTTCTTACAACTAAGATCATATGTAATGGACACTGTCCATTAGCTACACCACAGATGGACAGGTCATCTGGACAGCCCTGCTCCTGTTGGGCTCTGTTAGCATTTGGAGGTACTGTAATGGAGGCTTTGGAGCAGGGTCTCAGCCACCATTGCTGTCTGCACTGGGTCTCTCAATAGTCCACCTGTTTCACATGGTTCTGTGAATGTGAAATGACAAACATTTGAAATGAAGCCTCTCTACCACCCTTGCCTTAGAGTGAGTAAGCCTGTGACAACATGCAGTACTTCAGTCACAGACTTGGTATCAGCCTTGCCATGGCCTAGAAGCACAGCCTCCCAACTGGCCTGATAGACATATATGTCTTCCAAAATGATTTTAAACAAATCACCCTGGCCCCCCTTCCAAAAAAAGGAATAAAGCTTGGGAAATTTGTAACAGGATTTCTTGCATTGAAACACACTCACCTTGAATTAGATGGAGGTGGACAGCAGTGTGTCTATTGTCGCTAGATTTGTCTTGAGTTCACAGTCAAACTACAGCCCCCTGCCATCACCATGCTTTTAGGTAGAGATATAAGACAGTTTTCTGCCACTGGAATGTGAATGGAAATGCCTTCTTGGGGTTTAATGCAGAATTAGTCAAACTACAGACTACAATGCAGAAAGTTCTATCTAGTAAAGCACAGCCATCTCACTCACACATATATTACCTATGACATCCTGTGCAGGCTAACCCAAGAGTGATTACAGATTTAACAGATTACAGGCAGCCCACATAGTCTAAACTAGGTATTATTATCTGTCCCCTACACTGAGGGATAAATTGACCTTTTGTTTGAGATGTGCTAAAATGAAATGTTCTCTTCCTATTGACCATCTGGAAGAGAGGAGACAAAAAATGAAGGTATGGTTATAAGGTCTCAGAATTGGTATTTCTAAAGGACTGCATAAAGTGTGTTCTTCTACCCAAACAGACCATTGCACAACTTTTGTTCAGACACATATTACAGAAAAAAAATCACTATATTGTTCTAAGGTACTGAGATGTGGAGAATATTTGTTGCAGCAGCTAACACAAACAGGCAAAGCATACTGCTTTATATAAATATGACAGTCAAAAATTGTGTAATGATAGCACAGAAAACTCAAGGTATTTAAGACTTACATTAAAGGTTGAAAATGGCAGGAGTAACTGCTGAGAATTCTGAGAGTTCCAAACCAACCTCAAAGCCCTCCTCATGTGATATGGATTGAAAGGAAGATTGATATTTCCAGCCCAGAAGAGTCACCCCTGCTATCTGTCATTAGCCTGCTCATTTGTCTGTATTATTAAATACTGTACTGTTTTGTTGAAATGTAAACATCCAAGAAAATACTTAGTTATTCTACATTAGAGACAGCTTTATTTCACACTATTTTAAAAGGAAATCTAGACAAATCCAAAATACATTTGTCTTCTCTCCAGACAGGCACTGTTCTAGGAATACAGGAGAGTTATGCAAAGTAAGCCGGGTGCTTCTTGGGAAACCAAAGTCTCCCAGCCCCACCCCACCCCACCATGAGCATATAGCATGACAGTGAAATATTCCAAGAGAAACTCAAAGCCTAGCTGCTGCCTTATACACAGAGGCCAAGATGTCTGTGTGTCTACAATGTCCTCTGTCCTTCTCTTGCCCTGCTGTCTCCTCTTCACTGTGAGTTACTTCCCCTGAGAGAGCTCTTCAGACCCATCTCAGACTTACCTTTCTTTGTCTTCCACATTCCCCCAAAACAGTAAATACCCAGGAAACACTCATCACATTGCAGCCCAAGTTTAAGTTTACACATCTGTCTCACCTATGAGGTTCTTACAATCACTTAAAACTTACAATCACTTAAAAACTTACAATCACTTAAAAACTTACAATCACTTAAAAAAAACTTTAAAAACTTAAGAAGAATAAGGATGCTCCAGAAGTAAGACCACACAACTGCATCTTTCACCCATGGTAGCAGGGCACTGGATTCTATGTTCCAGGCTAGTAGGGAATTTTGTGAAACAATGGCTAGTCCTCTCCTCTGGCAAATCCACCAGGGACTCTAAAGTATAGAAATTAGGCAGAGAACGTCACAGTCCAGGGGCTGTGATTATTGAAGGTATCGAATATGGCAAGAGTGGTGTAAGTTTGGGGGCTGGAATAATGAACAAAGTGGTTCATAATGCCTGCTTTAGGAGGCTTGTGTTCTAGAAGTGAAGAAGAGAATTGATTTTTTTTTAAAAATTGAAATAAGTGCCAAAAGAAAAAAAAATTCAATAAAACTGGGGAAGTGCTAAAAGATTTATTTTGTTTTATTACAATTATATATCTGTTTAGTGTGTGTATAAATGTGTTTTTGTGTTTGTGTGAGTGTGTGTGTATGTGTGTGTGTATACAAGTGCTCATGCACATGTGTGCCCTCCTCACTTGTGGAAATCAAGGGACAACTTGTAGAAGGCAGTCCTCCTTTTCTGCCCTATGGTATCTAAGGATTGAACTCAGTTCAGCAGGCTTAGGAGCCCCCAGCCAGCCTGCCCAGGGGGGTGCATTTCAAATCATGCAGCCAGAGAAGACTATACTGAGAAAATGGTACTGAGTAAAGATTAGGAAAAGCTGATTGAAGAAAAGATCAGCTCAGCAGATTCGAGGATGGACAGATTTGTTATGGATGTAGAAACAAGCACGAGGCCAGGATGGCTGAGTACCATCAGTAAGTGATGTAGATGAGGGCCGAGGATGGAGTGTGCCATTCACGTGGGACTTTCCCCACCATTATAAGTTCTTTTCTCTTTCTTCCAATGAGATAGAAAGCCTGTGGAAGTGGGGACAATATTGGAACAGAGAAACCTTAGAGAACTCTTGTCACAGAACACGCTTGAGATGATGTCACAGAGGACCAGGGTTAGCCAAAGAAGGTGGTGGCAAGTACTTAGATTCCTGTGACATTTGAAAGGCAGAGCCAACAGGCTTTGCTTGTAGAACAGGAAAGCCGTAGGGGGGAGTCAAAGAGAGCCAAAGCTTGGCACTGAACATTTGGGATGGGGTGTGGGGTGTGGGGTGTGCTGGGATGTGGAAAGTGGGCAAAGAGAGTGCTGTCAGATGGAAGCTTCACTTGGGATTTAGTTGAAACGCCGACGAAGTGCAGACTCTTCCAAGCATCTCCTTCACTCGGGCTGTCTCTGGCTTTGGCTTCTTACGTCCTATTTTGAGTTTTCATCTTCCGAAGAAAGGGTTAAGAATCGCGCTCCTGAAATTACCCTGTGAAAGCATGAAGCACCGTGACTCTTGTCAGCATTTATATGTGGAAACCCCAGCATGATGCCATCAACCCCAAGGAGAGCTTTCCTCTGGCTTTGGGGAACTAGGGAAAGGAAACACGATTTCACAGCACCCTGGGGGCTCTTGGCCAGAGCAGCACAGGGTAGATTCTTTGCAGGCTAGTATAGTGCCCTTTCTGGAAACCCTCACAGTTTGCTAACTCTTGGAAATGGAACCACCCATCATTAAATCATAACCTGAGGGGACAAAAAGTAACAGCGGACCGCTCATGCCTACCTCTCTTTGCCCAGAAAGCATTAAGAGCAGCCACAGAAAATATGATTTCAACTGAGAAGATCTGAAACCTGTGGATTTCCTCTTTAAGGAAACCAGAGTCCATCCTTGCAACCCATCTCCCATTTCCAGCACATCTCAAAACCACCAGCGCTGTCCTCACCACTCCCAGCCATCAACTTCTGGGAGGAACAGCTGTCACCACAAAAGTCATACTGGGCCAGGACAGCCAGCTGGCTCAGGAATTCACAAACAAACTAACCTTGAATTTTATTTTGAGCACCAAGGCTAGCTAGCCCCTTGTGTTCTTCAGAGCCATCTCTGTTTTTACTCTATGATAAACAAACACCAACTCAAATGTCATATTGAGCTGTATTGTGGGGTTTCAAGGCCACTACCCCCCCCCATTGCCTTCTTTGCCTCAAGTCTTTACATTTGCATACAAAGCAATAGGTTTCATTGTGGCATTTTTATACTCACTTTGTTCTTATTCATTTCTACCCCCTGTGCCTCTTCTCTCCCCATACCCTCTTTTGAGTTCTCCTTTCATAAAGGAAAGCTTTTAACTCTTGACAGTGTGAAGACTTAAGCAGCCTAACTCAAGCCTCAACTGTGATGCTTGGGGGAAGAGGCTTGGAAACTGTTGTCCTAGTAACAATTTAGTGATCATTTTTCACAGTGCAGACAGAAGTCATGGAACTGGCAGATGACATAATCCCGGTATTTTAAAAGATGTAAGACACCAACAAGCGTATGTGTTGCTGCACAGCACCACCTACTGACCAGATGTGGAATGGGCATGAGCGAGGACTAGAACCTGAGAGCGGCAGAACCACCGAGAAACAGGAGATGGGGAGAAGGAGGAAAAAGAGAAGGGATGGATTTAGATTAATTTTCATAAAATTCCACATTCCAGTGATACAGAAGCTGAGCTCAGAACATCTAATAAAATTCACAAAGGGAGCAAAGGACCCACAGATCTCTTTATAGGGAAACCCACTTTCACATTGTCCAAGTTTAAAAAATAATGACCCTTTTGTAATGATCAAGAATAGACATATAGATAATGCAACTGAACAAAGATGCCAGAAACTAATCAGCATGCCAAGTCCACTTCTTTTCCCCAAGAACACAAAGGCATTTGGACAGAGAAAGGTTGGTATTCAAAATGTTCCATTTGACAATTATACAAAATACATATAATTTAATTTCATACCTCACACCTTGTATATAAGTTAAATAAATATCTATATCTAAATAAAAATATAACCATAAAGTTTCACAAAGAAAAAAAACAGAGGGAAAAATCTTTGTGGTCTTGGCTGGGGCTAAGAAATCTTACATATAACAGCAAAAATGCAGTCATTAAAGAGAAAAATTAATGAGCAGATAATATGAAAAGCACAAAAAAGTATTCTTAATCAACCACTCTTAGGTGTAATACAAACTTCCTTCAGCCATAGTTTAATGACTGAAATGTGTCCTAGAGCACAAACCAGGTTCACGGTCCACATCAACCCTGAGTACACGTTCATCATGAATGCTCTATGCCTCCAGGAATGTTTTCGGCAGTTAGTATAATAGTAGTAGTGGAGTGCTGTTTTAGCCCCTGTTGCTTCCTCTTCAGACTGCGAATTACATTCTCATCCGCCTGTGGAGCGTACCCTGGCTCTGAGACCCAGCACCAGGGAAAAGAGGTCAGACCTCGCCACCTACAGGCAGAACATGAACCATTCTGGTGTTACCATGCCAGGAGGAAGGGTCAACTAAGGCAAAAAGGAGGGAAAATCACTACAGCCTCCTCCACTGCACTGAAGGTCATGTTGTCACATCCCTGGTGTCCTTGATGTTTTTATTCTGGGTTCCACTAATATGTTTCTTGGAATGCAAGATTTTCACTTATTAACAATAATTTCCTGTATGTCTCTTAACATGTCAAAAATAAATCCATTATGTTCATTATGTTGTAGAGACAAGTAAGACGGAGGACCCACCTAGAAGAGCAGGATGCCTAGGAGGAGAGGATGTGATAGACCCATTATGGTCTTGCTGGAGTTTGCTCAGGAACCCTGTCTCTACTTCCCAGGGCTGGAATTTCAGCTTGATAGCCATGCCCAGCCAACATTTGTAAAGGGTCTGGGGAAGTGAACTGTCCTCTTGCTTATGATACAAGCCCTTTAGCCACTGAGCCATCCCCTAGGCCTGGTGTAGGGAGTTTCAGTTCCCAAAAACGTGAAGCTTAATGCTCTCTGACTTTATAGGACCTTGCCACTCTAGCTCTGCTACTTGATGCTTAGAAAATATGAAAACTCCGTGAAGATGTTTTTAGAATCTAATCTTGATTTGATTGGTCTTTGGGTATTCTGAAATATTAACCCAGATAGTGCCAAGCACAAACAGTGGAGAAAGCCTTGAGACTTCCATCCTTAAATGGCATTGTTGATTGGTGTGTTCCTCATTACAGTGTCTGAGTGGCCAGCAACTAAATTCTGCTAGAATGTTCTCAAATGGACAAAGAGCCAAGTGTGTTAGTCTCCACCATCTTCCCTAGCTCTGACATTCAGTGCACTTTGAGATGGGATCTGACCATCCTGACTTTAGATGGAGGTTATTTTAGATGTAGTCATTATTGACTTCCTGGGAATGTCCTCAGGGAAGTACCTGAAGCATCCGCCTTGTTATTTCTTTCCATGAAACTTTACTATCCATAGAAGACGCTTATTACTAAGACTCAGGATAGTCATCTGTATTATCTACTTTAGTAACTGCTCTCATCAGTCATATAAATCTGAAGATGCATGTAAAACTATATAGCCACTAGCTTAAATACTTAGGTAAATAAATGTTTCCTCAATCCTTGAATCTATAACAAAATGAGGGCTAAAATCTTACAAACCATACCATGTTTTTGATCTATTACATTTTTTTAGATGGAAATATTATTTTCCGCAAATATTTTTTTTTTAGATGATCAGGTATGGTGCTGGGACATTAGCCCAGAGCTTCCATCCTGATCTGCAATTTAGAGGAAGAATGAGAGAGCCTAGGTCAGATGTGGGGCTTTATTTGTATTTAGAGTATGTGCATGCATGCATGTGTGCATGTGTGCGTGCGTGCATGCGTGCGTGCGTGTGTGTGTGTGTGTGTGTGTGTGTGTGTGTGTGTTCAGAAGACAACTTGTGGAAGCCAGTTTTCTCCTGATATCACGTGGGTTCCAGGGATGGAACTCTAGTCACCAGGCTTGGTGGCCCACTCCTTTGTCCTGTGAGCCATCTGCTGGCCCCCAAAACAGAAACTCTTGATGCTTTGCACTGGTTGCTCTTACTTGCCTTTCTTCTTTCATGGCTGAGTTTGCCTTCCCACTTCTCCACCCTCTCAGCACCAAAAGACCTTGGGCTCCAACACCGAACTCCCTGGTGCTCCTTTTTTCCTCAAACTATGCAGTTGGTGTCTCTTTTTGCCATGCTTGGCTCCTTTTCATTTGCAGATCTCCATGAGAATCTTTGCTAATAACCACATGGCACAGTTAATACTAGGCTGTCTTGAAATATCCTCTGCCAATGATATTAATTCAAAATTCTCCAAGTTAGCCTCAAGTGGCTTCTTAGGACAAGGGCAGAAAGCAGCCACACTCTTTGCCAAAATATTGCAAGAAGGGTCTCCAGTTCATTTGGTAATGCACCACTCTGAAGTTTCTTATGCTGAGCCTCCATAGTCTACATTGTTCTCAGTGTGATTGTCTTCCAAGATCCTACTAGGATTATCCTTAAATGTTCAACTACTTTCCTAATCCAAAGTCCCAAACAGTAGCATGGTCAAGGCACTCCTGGTATGAACATTCTGTCTTAGTTACTGTTCTGTTGTTGTGAAAAGACACCATGACCAAGTCAACTTATAAAAGAAAGCATTTAGTTTGGAGTGGGGAGGAGATTACAGCTTCAAAGGGTTAGTTCATGACTCCCATGCAGGGAGTACAGCACTGGAGTAGTAGCTAAGAACTTACATTTTCATCTGCAAGTTGGAGGCAGAAAGAAAGGGTCTAGCCCTGGTGTGGGCTTTTGAAAATCTCAAATCCCACCTCAAACTCTTAATGCTTCCCAGAATAATTCCACCCACCAGGAACCAAGGAACCAAATTGAAATAGGGGGTGGGGGGCAGTTTCATTCAAACTACTATTTCCCCCCACTAAAAAAATTAAGCAATACCTTTGCTCACTTATCTCAAATAGAGACAAACTCCCAGGTAGAACCCCAAGGGCCTTTTGCAGTATCCTGTTTCGACTCGAACCTTTCCTCATTATTACCTCACTTCCTGGTGTTCCTTGGAAGTGGTTCCTTGGTAAATTACATGGACTCTATCCTCATCTTGATAAAGTGTTTCCCTGGATCCCCATTGTGGACACCTGCCTCTCCATGCCTGTTAGACAGTGGTACTGAAAAAAAAAATGTTTAAAGAAAAAAAAGCACTGAAATCCAAGCAGTTATCACAATTTCACTTCTCAAGCAAAACAGCAACAGAAGCATTAGCTATTTGAACAGGTTTTCCCATCTCAGTGAGTTTCCTTTTCCTGTTTCTACAGCCTCAGGTTAACCTGGAGGTGACAGGGGAGGAGAATCACAGAGGTGACGAAGGGTTAAAGGAAGCAGCCCCGGAGGAGAGGGACAGAGAGATTGTCCAAGTCATCAAGTGTGATTAGTTTTTCAGCAGTGGAATCAGGAGCAATTCTACTGAAACAAAAACTCCAGGACATTTTAAGAAAATAATTTGCTTAACTATGATAATTACTAGAGCTATTTAATTGCTTACATACACTTTAAAGTATTTTTTTTCTGAAACTGTCACTCAGTAAAATATTAATCTAGACTAGAACTGCTCCTTTACAAGATATGTTAAAGGATCTCCTTCACTCACTCTTTCTTTGAACCATTAAAGTTATTATACAGCAAGGAGCAATTTTCAATAATTTACCCCCAAAAAATAATAATAATAAGGTAGCTGTGCACTGCATGTGTTTGATTTAAGGAGAAGGGCTTCCCTTGCAGGACCTCACGAACGTACAAGGTTCAATCATAGCAGAGCACTAATGAACAGGCTCCTCTCCCAAGCTGGGCCCCTGCACAGAATGACTTCATTCAGGGCTACTGCTCACGCATGGAAAGTGTTGGTTAAAAAAATCCCACAGAGTTCAGCCAACCTTTTCCTAACTCCTACCCCTCCCCCGCCTTATTTGTCTTTCTGGTCGAAGTCAGGAGTAACATAAATATTCATCAGCTGATGTTAGCAACTGTGAAGTTATGAATGAGGCCATGCGACTTCGTCCCGACCCTGTCTACAATATGGCAGCTTCTCCATGCGACTCCCAGCCAGAGGACACTTTGGGAACTCCCCCACCCTACTCAAAGGCTTTTCAGGTTCAGCGATTCAGCCCCTTTGCCTTTTAATGCTCTGAGCAGAAACTCTGTCTGCTTAATGTTTACTCTGGGGTTATAGGAGAAGAAAAAGAAAAACACTGCTTTGCCAAGCTTTAAACTTTTAGATGCCTTGACATAACGGGTGCATATGTCAGTAGCTCAAAGCATCAGCAGGTCTGTAGACAGATGCCACTGTGGCAGGGTTGTTTTTTTTTTTTA